TATGTGGAATTTTCAGAAATGATACAAATGAACTTATTTATAAAACAAAAACAGACTCACAGACTTAGAAAACAAACAGGAGTTTGGGATTAACAATTACAAACTACTATATGTAAAACAGACAAACAACAAGGATTCACTGTAGAACACAGGGGAAAATATTCAGTATCTTGCAACCTATAATGGAAAAGAACCTGAAAAAGAAAAGACTATGTATACGTACAACTGAATCACTATGCTGTATACCTGAAACTAACAGCTGTATATCTGAAACTAACAAAACATTGTAAATCAACCACATTTCAATTAAAAAAATATAAGCTCTAAATACCTTTATTCAAAGAAAATCTTCAACACTTACCTCTTACAAAAAGTAAAATGGGAAGCTTGAGCAGGACCAAATTATACTGAATGAGAGGTTACATACCTTCTCCAGCACGTGGCCCATTCTACACACACATCGTGTTTTCCTTCACGTAAGAATGGCCCTTATTGCCCTGGGAGCGAGTCCTGCTGGGACAAGGCCTCTGTGGCAGTGGCCTCTTTGTCACCGCTCCATCTCACCAGGAGGCCAGGGTTTTCAGAGGGGAGGGAACACACAGCTCATACACTTCAGATGTATTTCCTGAGAAAAACTATGGAAAGACCAAATTCACCTGCAGTGCGGGAAACATGAGCAGGGCCCCTAAGTAGACCGACAAGCCCGAAGCAAGACGGCCCGATGTTCACACCGGAACCAGAACAACAACCGTCTGGCCCCAGTTAAACGATCACCATCTCACCTGCAATGAACTGTTCGTACTCAGTGTCAGGGATGTTTCTGTTGAGACTTGAGACATCAAAAAACTCAGACCAGGGAATCCGGACCTGGTGGATGTCCAGGCTCTGCCAATGGTAGAGGCAGCCCCAAGGGGGTAGCACCAGCACCGACTCCTCCATTTTCATCAGGGTCTTCAGGAGGAAGGCGATGTGGATACACACGGCCCTACGGAGGCTGAAGCCTTCTGGAGGGTTGACGTCACACAGAATGTACCTGGCAGGGAGCAAAGGAGGGCGGGTCTTCAGGGCCGGGCCTCTGCACAGGAATCTCGGCTTAGATAGAACAGATACAACGGGAATCCCTGCACAGCCCATGGCCTAGACTCAAGACACGTTCAGCAGCTTCTGGTTTGTAAACTGGAGGCACTGCCTACCCATCTCCACGTGGCCAATTACTTCGAGTCCGGGAGCAGTTGCGGAAGACATCTTGGCATCTGTCTGACAACGCTAAGCACCTGACTAGTACCTGAGCACCCGTTCTCCAGGGGCTGTCAAGCTTCTTGGTCTACAGACCCCGGTACACTCTTAATTACTGAGGACTCCAAAAGGCTGCTGTTTATGTGGGTTAAATCTATCAATGTGTTAGAAGTTAAATAAGAACTTTAAAAAATGCTTATGTGTTCACTTAAAAATAACAACTTACTACATGTTACCATTAATACTCTTAAGCAAAAAATAAGTATATTTTTCTAAACAAAAATCATTAATGAGAAGAATAGCAGTAATTTTAATTTCTGCAAATCTCTTTTGGACTGGAGACAGCTGAATTATATCTGCCTCTACATTCCCTGTTCTGTGATATCACAGACCAGGTTCTCCCTGGAAAACCCCACAGGTAACTCAGGAGTGCAAGAGTGTGCAAAAGGCAGGTGACATACCGGCGTTTCTACGAAAATAGTCTTGCATCTCAAGGGCCTCGGACACACTTTGATAACTGCTGTTCTACCCTAGGCAAGACTCTCCTACACAAGAGCCAGGCAAGGGTCCTGGCTTCTTTAATGAGTT